TGAAAATTCATTATCTCCCTATACACCTCTTGGTAAAACTTTATTCACTAAACTTATAATTCTCCAATCTCTTTGACTTTTATGGTTGGCTAAAATACAATTAAAGAATTTAATAAATTCATGTCCAATAGGAGGAAATAGCAGTATGCTATGCTTCAAAGGGTCTTTATGGAGTAATCAGTTTCATGCCTTCTATTCCTCGGTAATAATAAGTGTCAGTAAGCACAAAAGTTAGTTTAAAGAGCTTCTACCAACTGCTAACAACCATCTTTCAACAATGCCGGACTGAGTATCGTAGTGTTTTGCATCAAAAGGAAACGGAAGGTTGAGCTAGTTGGCTCGAAATAATATCACCATGAAGAAACAAATAGCGTTTCTCATGCTACCTGGGATAAAAGATATGGTCAAGGTCCATTCATTGCGTTGCCACCCTTTCCGTTCATATTCTCTTGAAGTATTATTTCAAAGTGAGAAAAATTAGGTTAATTCACTGAAATACAGATTGCTGTGTTCATCTCTCTGTCTTCTAATATGATTTAATAGCTCCTTGAATTTTCAGTGTAAATAGGCTTTTATTGTATTTTCTTATGTTAGGTATGTATCAGCTTAGGTTAAACAATTCTGTTAATGAACCTATAAAAATGCTCATGTTCTAAAATCTAATGTAATTTCTTACTACGAGAAACTTATTAAGTTTAGTAACAAAGAAAGAGTACTTAGTTGGAACAAAGCCTTATATATCTAAATGTTCTTTAGCCTAGTAACGTAGGTCACGTAAACATTTTATGCTTCATATGTAGCATGAATTAATCGCTTCAACAAGTTATGATTGCAAATTGTGATTTGCAATACAGTTTTACCACCAACTTTTGGAGGAACCTCAGTGGCCGAATTTTTATGATTCATAGAAAGTAGTATATATAACTGTGAGGAAAGTCACATTCCGAAATTTCCCAAATGATTGGGAATAAGATTATTTTCAAAAAGGTGAAACAGATGAATGAATACTTCTTTCAAATACAGTTAGGAGTCTAGTAGCTCTTTGGATGTAATTAAACTTAGTCTTCACTCTCTGAACAAAGAATATGCAGATGACATAGTCCTGCTAGTTGAAGATGATGCAAAATGCAGAGTCTTCTGAGCACCTTGAGCAGTGAGCGGTCTTCAAATGTTTGGCATGCAATTCGATCCTGTCAAATGTAAGATGATGAGGCTGCAGGACTGGACTACATCGACGCCTAGCTTAAAGATAGGGAGTGAGTGGGTAGAGCGTGTTGACCACTTTACTTATTTGGGAAGTTGCATTAGTCCCAACGGGTTGATCTTTGACGAAATCTCAGCACGAATACAGAAGGCTGTTTTGGCATATGCCAACTTACACAATCTCTGGCGTAGACGTGATATCCGGCTATCGATCAAAGGGCGTTTGTACTGATCAGCAGTACGCTGCGTCCTCCTTTATGGCTGTGAGACCTGGCCACTGAGAGTGGAAGACATGAAAAGGCTATGTGTCTTTGATTATAGATGCCTGAGTCCTATCTCCTTTGTTAAGTGGTATAATAGGGTGAGTAATATTAAAGTTAGGCATCGGTTGAGTGATACGTAAGGAGGAGAAATCTGTCGGCGAGGTTGTGAAATTACACCGATTGAGAGAGATGGTTAGGACGGGCAGTGTTAGCTGACATAGGATCAGGTTGAAAAAGAGCTGGTTAGTGGTGGTCAAACGAAAACATGTCTTCATCAGTCAATGAAATCCACAACAGTTAGTTTAAGCCAACCACACAGGGTCATGTAGACTGCCAGTCTGACTGAAGTCCTTGGGACGATAAACACCAGTGACTGGAGACAATTGGTTATATGGCTGAAAATCGTTCTCATTGGCTGACGCAGATGCATCCACTCCTTGCGATTTATAAATTCGATAAAATTCTATTGTTCTTCCATATTACTAGTCTTTTTGCTTGATATTTCTGTTTGTTATCTCTGTTTTGAAATCTCTCGTTACTCTCTTCTCTTGCTTTGTGTGTTACGGGGAGGGAGAGTGGCAACTCGAACTGCTGGATATCTGTGCAAAGTTCTATGTTGAATCCAGTCAGTCAAAACAAAGATAAAATAGTTAACAAACAAATTAAGATATTCAAAGGCTATTTAGTAATAGCACTGTTCGTCGATCGAATTGTGTTTACAGAGACTTGTTTGGATAAAATCAGAGTGACAGTATGAAACAATTTACGGTTGATGAAGTTAAAGGAGAGCTCGCCTTGTAAGCAGAAGGTCCTGGGTTCTAACCTCAGTGGGTGTGCACTGTGAAGAGTCCCAAACTAGGACGAAACAGCTGTCGATTACTCTCTGAAGGTTTTCCAAAGGTTCTCTAACGAATGTCAGCTCATGATGAAATCCTTCAGTCAATCAAACAAAATCCCTACAAAACCAATACTTGAAAATTAAATTATGTTCCTCAGAATAACCAGGTGTACAGAAGAGTGTTATAGACAATTAATTTATCAATTGGGGAACATAGGAAGCAAAAGAGTACAGACAGAGATAAATCAATTAGAATTAAAAATAGGCTAAATGCGATAGATTTTGCTTTCACTGTTTTTTCACAAAAACGCAGATCGATTTAATATTCAATCTATTTGGCACACATAGTCAAAGAAGGTTATAAAATACAACGCTGAGATTCTAGAAGCTGCCAAAAAGTTATTTTCTGTGTACACCATCATTCGCAAAATTACTAATTACAATTTGAGTATAAGTCGGCCCCTTATTTATTTCTAATGAGTTGAGTCTAGTTTACTGGTTGAGATTTATAATAACTACTGAAGGATAAACCCAGTAAAATGATCAGAATTTCATAAAAAATATTGTCAATTAGTATGTTCATATGAAAAGCGTGACCTTATCTGCAAATGTGTTTTTCTAGGGATAGAATGCTGTGATTTAAAAAGTAACGACCAGAAAAGACTCATTGACAAAATCAAATTTTCGTTAGTACACAAAATAAGTAGTTATGATAGCACTCACTTTTAAATATTAATTTCACTCAGTGAAATTGGAAAATAGCATAAGAATCAACGGTCTGATGACACAGTTCACAGTGGCGCTAATCTATTTAGTTTTATCAGCTTTGAAATTTTTAGTTTGAACTAATTTTAACTGAATATTCTTTGTTTTATTTTCATACTCATGTTGGTAAACCCATTTCCTTCTATTTTAAGCCTTCTTTTGAAGTGGAGTAAACTGCACGGATGTTATTCCTAGTAAGGTTTTGCGTAACCACAAACTGCTCAAGCTCCAACCAAAGGTTATTAGGAATGACGATATTTACTCAGCTACTAGGTAGGAATTCAGTGGTAAATTTGCCCAACTTCTATAGATTAGTAATACACTCTCCCTATCTTTTAAAAATTATCAGTAAATTACTATTCTCACGCTTAATGTGGTTGACCTTGTAAGTTGAGCTTACTGATTTGGACTTCGGGAAAAATTTGATTGAATTCGGACGAAATGTCACCACTCATTTACTTCTGCAGTCAGACCTGACGGTCTTGAGTTCATCAAGGTAGACTGCTAAAGTTTCTCGCGAAAAGAACGTACAAAGTAGTCACAAAATTTTCAGACTTACAAAATATAGGATTTCTCAAGTTATTATAAAAGAGTTAGTAGAGAAAGTATGACCGATAGGGTTAATTAAGTTCAATTAGATGAATTTGAACTATGTGATACATAGGGTTTATACAATGATGATAGATTTATAAACATGAAGAGGAAATTAGGATTTAGGTTTATTGAAGATGATATAATCAGCAGTTACATGTATATTAATTTATGGAGCTGAATGTACCAGGGATGGCACACCTTAGTTTGTACAGTGATGATTAACAGTAATTTTGTTTGAAGCTCTTGCAAAATGAATAAGTAGACATTATTTTAGTTTATGGAAGAAATGTAAAAAGAGAAAAGAAAAGATTGCCCCAACTTGTTGAGACTCATTTTATGAATTATGCACAGATACTAAATTTATACCGTTTTGCTTTAATTTTCACAAAAACCGTTAGAATAAGTCCTCCCAATTTCATCTGATCTTTTACACTAGACTCATTGAAAGCCATATCCCCACTCTTTATAACCGGGCTTTTACCTATCTTTAGTTCTCTTACATCTTCTCTATGTTACTTACTCACTTCTAACTGCATTATTTCCACTCAGTTCAGTTTTTCCATTTCCTTAGATTTTCTGTGGCACGCTTCTCTAACCTCATATATATATACATATATCTTTACTGTTTAGTACTACTAGGAGTCATTGTAGGCTTGTTAGTAGTAATTGTGGTATTAGTATAATGACCATGATTAATTGTACAATTCACATTCTTTGTTGTGCTCCCACTACTAAATTATTTCGATTAATTTATAATTCATATTGGAATGTACAGTTATGTATATTAGAATAAAGCACGAGGAAGATTTGATTGAAAATAATATCGTTTACTTATGTATTATTGTTCTGGTCTTTGTTATATAAGTTTTAACTTATTTTTTAAAATCACAATTACTAAGAAATTATTAATTTAGGCTTCATGTCGTTTGAGAAGTACGATATTTAACATTTTACTTATTTTATAGTATAATACTCTCTTCTGACAATGATAAATGTTAATTATATCTTCTTAAATGATGTTGCCTGTTTTTCTTTAAAAAAATTCTTTTAGACTATCAGAATACTTTTCTAATGATAAATAATATCCAATCGAGTAGTTGGTTATCATAGCAAGTTCAGCCAATTCGCAAGAGATATACGTGATATCATTCAATTGATTGAAATGTTTAGTATTGACAAAGGTGCTGCTCATTCTCACTTACCACCTTTAATAGGAATGAACAATGCTGCTGTAGGCAACGACAATATCAATGGCCTTATTACATCATCAACGTCTACATCTGGAGGAGGAAATAGCAATAATAATGTGAGGTCTATGTTGAACATTACTCAACTGTATGAAGATAGACAACAAAAACATTATGGAGATAATATCTCAATTGCTACAGTTAGCAATTCACTTCATCTTCCAAATGTCTCAGTGGGACAAAATAATCCTCAGGGTAATCACCATGGAAATCGACCAGGTGGATCAGGGATAAAAGGAAACTATAGTCCAACTAAACATCATAGCTTAAAAATGGAAACACAAATCAATTCCCTTAAAATCCGAAATCGAGCTGCTGCATGTGGAGGAGGCGGCGGAGGCGGAAGTGGTACCTTCAACGGTGTTTCTACAAATGCGGGGCAAACTAACTGTACTAATGAAACTACTAATTTTTCAGCTCAACCACCGATATCAAACGACACCTTATGTTTAAATTCCTTATCTAATCAGATGATAACATCAAGTTTGACTCCAGAAATGGCACTGAAATTGTACGTTCATAAATTAAGTGCATATGAACATCATGAAATATTCAACTATCCCAATATATATTTTGTGGGCCATAATGCAAAGAAAAGAAATGGGGTTTTAGGAACGGTAAATAATTGTGGATATGACGATGACCAAGGGTCTTATATGCATACTGCACATGACCATGTTGCCTATCGTTATGAAGTCTTGAAAGTACTGGGAAAAGGAAGTTTTGGACAAGTTGTAAAGGCTTATGATCATAAAACTGGTGTTTACGTTGCTCTAAAAATGGTAAGGAATGAAAAACGGTTCACTAATCAAGCAGCTGAAGAAATTCGAATTCTGGAACAATTAAAACAACAAGATAAAGACAATACCCGCAATGTAGTGCATATATTTGAACATTTTACTTTTCGTAATCACGTTTGTATGACTTTTGAATTATTAAGTATGAATCTATACGAATTGATTAAACGAAGTAAATTTCAAGGGTTTCCGCTACAGTTAGTTAGAAAATTTGCTCACTCTATTTTGGTCTGTTTGGATATGCTACATAGAAATAAGATTATACACTGTGATCTAAAACCAGAAAACATCCTTCTAAAACAGCAAGGCAGAAGTGGAATTAAAGTGATTGATTTTGGTTCAAGCTGTTATGAAAGTCAGCGTATATACACTTACATACAGTCAAGGTTTTATCGTGCGCCTGAAGTAATCCTTGGATTCAAATATGGTACACCAATAGATATGTGGAGTTTCGGATGTATTTTGGCAGAACTCTTAACAGGTCAGTCATAATCCCTATTTAATGGTGATTTTTCATTTATCCACAATGTTTTTCTATGATATATTTTAGCTTAATCAAAATCCTACATAGATTGTAAATATTTGTTAGCAAGGTTTAACTTGTCATAACGCTACAATTAGTACTAACGGTAATCAACGTGAACAGTATATTTGAACTGATAGCGTGGCTGATATATCAACAGAGGTCAGTGTAAATGATAACTAATGCTAACGGACTGTAATGTTGCATTTCCAGTTTCTTCTTTTCCAAAAATGTGTCGAATATTGTTGTTTCTATTCAGAATAAGACGGGATTATTAAGACACAGGAACTGAGTTACAATGATAAAAATATCAGTTGAGTAATAAAGATCTATTCAACAATTGTTCATAGTGTTTTTACCTAATAACTTATTGATGTCGATGTGTCATCTGCTTGTTTTAGATACATGTAGTTATTGCTCACCAGTTTTGTTGGAAGCGAGGAGAAGCTAACTTGTCAGATCTTTAAGAACCTTACATAAGAATTTTAATCAATTGCACACGCATTAATAAGCTTGAGTTGCCTTTTGAAGTCCGGATGAGAAGGCACCATCAACTGGAGTGTAAGAAAAGAGATTTATTGTCGGTACCTAATAGTGATGATAATATATGGCAAACTGACAAAAGTTGGGAATCATAGGTCATTGCATCCCAATCCAATGTCCCCGCTATTTCGCCTTTGACTCCTTGAATTGTCATAGGTTGACATCACGAGAACAGGAGACTAGCTTAAAGCAGGTTTCTAGAGCTCTTTAATTGACATCACATTGTGATAAACTACACTTTATAACTACTGAAATGGTAACACATTGAACATTTGAAATGACTTATCATATGTTTGTTAACACAACATAATGATTTCAGTGTCATAAAGTATCATGGCCGGATGATCTGAGATAACAAACTTACAGTTGTATTATTTATTTAAGGTTTGTGTAAAAGTCTACTAACTAACATAATTTTAGCTCAATATGCTTACTTCACTGAACTTTTCACAAGGAGCATAACTAAAAAAATCAAGGTCCTTCATATGCTCGAATCAAATGAAGTGTAATATCGATGTGGTCTGATAAATTATCTACAAGTGCATTCATGTGAGAAATGGGATTATAAATAATACTGGATGACTGTATAGTGAACCTGAGTCGGTGGTTCAGTGGTAGAATGCTAGCCAATCACAAATGGGTTCGATTCCTGACCAACGTACTAGTAAAACTGGCTTAGCCCTTAGTGAGGCTGGTAAAGCCCAAAGCTTCAGGTTGAAGCTAGCAACCCCACCCCATGAAAACAACAACACCACTAGTGAAACTTTAAAGCTCAGGCTTAAAGCCTTATGTTCCACTCGGAAAGCGAAAGGAATGAAAAGAAAAGAAAAAAATAACGATAAAACCATATTTTATCTGTCCGAAAGTGTTCAGGACTTATGGAGGCGATAACATTTTTACTGATTAGGACACCTTAAGTAATACAATAGTTTTTTTTACGGTAACTGTATTTGAAACGTTCAAGATTTCAAGTTAAAAAGAAATCGGTCATTTGTAATTTATAAAGAACATTTAATTCGGTAACATCCCTAAACAAAGTTGAAACATAGAGAAGTCTACATATCAACCCAAAACAAGAGTTCATAAATCTTCTTAAACAGTTACACTGCGGTCTACAATATTTTCAAAGCTGTTCAGTAAAGACATGGATTTATCGAATGAAATTATGTCGAAAATCAAACCTGATTCCATAGAGATATTCTCCTTGGTTTCTCTAAAATGATTATATTATACGTTGAATAAGCATTTTCTCTGGAAATACACAAAATGATGGCTTCAATAACACCATGAAGAATTTTATGGACAAGAACTTAAATAGTTGGTATTAGATGGTTGGAGGCAATCGACAGGAAGCCTTGGACCTAGATTTCGTGCTAGTTGGCACTCACCAGTCAGCAAGGCGTATCTGCAACCTCGAAGGAACTCATATTCCTTCCGAGATTCACAGTGCACTGTGGTGACCAGCCACCTAGGATGGTGGCCACAATGCACGCTTGACTGATAGAATTCACTCTGCACCAAAGGTAGGACTAGACACATTGCACGAGTAACTGACTAGTGTCCAATCAAAAAAGAACTTAAATAGTTCTGTGAGGATACGTGCTAAGACATTAACACTATTTGTAAAAAATGCTGTGATAAGTGCATTTCATTTTTAGATATCCTTCTCTTGAAAAAGTTAAGTAACTGTGTAAGTAGAGATATATTTATGGAACACATATAGTCAAGATGTGAAGTTTGCTTCGATTCGTATTTAATTTTGAGCAAAATACCTAGTTGGGTGACAGTGACGGAACATGATTTAATTTCTTGACATGGATACATGGAAAACACTAGCAGACGCCATCCGGAATATTGCTCAACTATTTAAGCATGTTCGGTTATTATTAATATATGAATCATAGTTAACTCATATTCTTGGCAACATACAGAATATTGTCAACCAAAATACCTCAAGAGAATAAGAACGTTTCATTGTTAAATGTCCACCTTGACAGCTACATAAACAAACAGTCCGGTGACCAATATGGCGATCGTGGGCATTAAAGCAAACAGTGACACACACACAATCAATCAAATTATACCAAATCCACTGAACAGTTTCATTAGGAATAGATATGCTACTGTGAAAAAGTATGTAACAGTAATCACAAAGGACTCTGAACAGATGTATTGAATCAAAATATTACTATTTGTGAACTGTTACAAAAAAGAGATGCAATGATACCAGGATACTTAAACATTAGTTTGAAGGAGAGAATAATTTAGTCAAGAGAAATGATGTTCAGAATTTCGAATATGACGAGAATCAAATACACTTGACATTGTGGATGATTTTCATACTACCATTCATTGTTACCACCACAAGGACACCAGGTGAGCAGCCTCTGTCTGTCTCAACATTGCATAAAAACAATCGATTGGTTGTGTGTTCCCATCGGACCACCCTCAAATTTAGAAGTCTAGCTATGCTTCAGCTGACACTGCTTATATAACAAGCAAGTTGATTGGATGTTCCAGTCACCTTAATCGAGGGAGATTCAAAAATTCATTTGACGATTTACCTTACTTATTTGCCCACTGTGCTTAACCTGAATACTGCTTTCCATGTTGGTTTAACTCACATCAACAACTGAGTGAAAGCACCATTGATCCGAGACCTTTAATTATGTCACATCTTAGCTCTTCCATGTCTTAGCCATAAAGAATGGCATGGCAAACATCTCTTCGACTAGTTCATCATATATCCCTAATGTGGAAGTCAGTGTAGAGCGGGCACGCAGCATTGTCTTACCACTGTCAGGGGCAGACTACATGTCTAACATCTTCAAGTTTTGCTCAGTGAATGTAGACGACTATATTTTGTCTATGTCTTAACCTAACTGTTATTATATTTCAAGAGTTCTCAGTCACAGTAGTTTAATTTCTTAGGCATGTAGGCCAGGACTACTCATTTCTATTCACAAGTCTATAATGAAAATAAATAAAAGTGCTGACATTGGGCACCTCTGATTAACTACTGGTTGTCATCATTTCAAATGAGAACTAAGTATACACTCTTGCAGGATTACTTAAATTTGAGCAAAATATCTTGATTAACATAACATGCTACAATGTCTTCCCATTTGTAGACAAACCTCCCCTATGACGTCTCGATCGGTGGATTCAGATGCAGCCTTCTGACCAAGCAATGTGACTAGAATTAGGCGAAGGTAGTTATGTATGTGTTCCAGAACGTATAGTAGAGGAAAGATTTCATCGACGCACCGTTATTTGGGTTTGAAGTCTAACTGGTCTTTCAATAGTTCCATTTCTCATAACTTCACACCTGTCTAGTATAAAATATATTAGTCAAGCTGATCTCCATGTCATTATCACAGGAAGATTTGTACTCTCCTTTACAAGTTGACATAATCAATAGTCTACACCAGTCTAGTGGAAATAACTTAGATTCCCACACAGTAGCCAGTGTCAAAGTTAATCCCAGAACTTTTCTCAAGTGAAACCATGAGGTCCTCCTGCTTCCTTTTAACATTCAGACTATAAATAGCCATTATGAAATTGGTTACAGTTAGAATACTGTCGTTTTCATCCTATTTCGACGGTAATTGATTTGATGGATAACTAAAGTGCAGCTGAAGACCAATTAAACTGTTCTGTTTATCTCCATTTTCACATTAGAAATCTCACGAGCATCAACCGTGTAGCTTAGTTAAAGATAAGTTGCTGATGATGGTTTCATTACTGTCAGTTAACAGTTTCAGCTGTTAATTTAGAAACTATATGAATCATCTCTACATCAAAAATCATTTTATAAATTCATGAATGTATTAACTTGCAGTCCTGCACAAGAGTTGCCGGGTTTACTTTCTGTAACGAAGTTGTGGTCAAGCATTCACAAACCAAATCTTCTATCTATACACCTACAAGTATCGATACCATATCAAAACCTTACCTTAGCTCGAATTCACTATTTAAAACAGTAAATCCCTTATTGATAAAAAAATTTGTCAAAAAAATATTCTGTTTAGTCTCTACGACGATTAAATGGGTATCATCTGAACATCTAAGCCGTGGATTTGTTAACTTCTTCACTACGTGAAGCAGATATTCGGTTCTCAAAAAGATTACACGGGTTTTTTCAAAGCTTCAGATGCACCTTGCTGATGAGTGACTATAATTAAGATATTTAGATCAAATTGGATCAACATATGTTTGTTAATCTTACATCAAGTTATGATGACTGATATCTTTTTGTCCATTCACTGAATTATTTTTCAAACTTGATAGTATTCTTTACATTTTGCCATTTTTATTCTTTTACTAAAAGAATTGTCAGTCTTCCTGTTGCTATACACATATACTGTTATAATATTCTGTCCAAGGAAGTTTAATGTGGTTTAGCGCAATTAGGTTTTTTCAAATCATTTATTACAGATAAAAAAAGGAATGACTATTACATTCGTAACAGAAAATTTTCTACAAAATACGCTGAGGGGATTAATTCAGTTTATCTTAGTTTGTAGTCGTGTGTCGGTTGTTCATGGGTTTATATTATAATTTCGAAATTAACTCGATTGAAAACATAATATGAGAAATAAGATATGAGTGAGATTGATACAAGATCTGTCATAAATTAAAATAGCTTCAATAAAATAGGATTAACTGAATATACCAATAATTTGCATGCAATTCTCTATATCTACAAATGTGTGTGATATGTTCTAGAGTTGTTAATCATTTTGCAATGAGATTCCTTTGGATTTTTAAAAAAAATAATAAGGCTTGTACGACCTGGTTTCTTCGTCATACTAGTGTTTTGTATATGTGTATTTATATTGGTACATACCATTATAGGTAGCGTATGCTGATTATTTAACCACCTCAGTTCATATTAATGAAATTTGATTTTACTACACTAAATGTGAAATCAAATATAGCTCATAATTTTTGATTAACGTTAATGAAATGAGAATATAGGCACTATTACAAATTTGATACAACTTTATTCATAGGACACAGTAAATACTGATAGTAATTTCAATTTCTAAAAGAAAGAAACTGGTTTTAAGCAAGTACGAAATGTTAAAAGATCATATGTGCAACTTCATACTTATTTCAAGAGTTATTCATTATGATTTATGTTGCATTATGCGTTGATAATTTTCTGCTTCGAAGAAAATTCAACATACCATTTTCTGACAATTATCTTATTGAAACGCTTTTCTTAATCACTAGCCACTTTTTTTTGTTTAAATTTTAGTGGCCACTAAAGGCAAAATGTGACTGTCCTCAGATATATAAATTAGAAAGAAACACTGATAACTTTTCAGACTCTTTTTATAGTTTACACATCATTTCAGGAACATTATGTATGTTTTGAATCACCAGAAAATGCTAAATCTAAATGAATTACTTTACTTTTTTCCAAATGTTTTTCTTTTTAGGTGCACCTATATTTCCAGGAGAAGATGAAGGAGATCAACTGGCCTGCATAATAGAACTGCTTGGAATGCCACCGCAAAAGCTACTAGACCAGTGCAGAAGAGTCAGACACTTTTTTTCAACAACGCATGGATATCCAAGATACTGTATGGCTACAGATGCAGATGGTCGTGTTGTTTTGCGTCCTAGTAAGAGCAAAAGAGGAAAGGTTAGAGGTACACCTGGAAGTCGCTCATTGGTTACAGCTTTAAATGGATGCGAAGATGCTGTCTTCCTTGATTTTCTTAGGAGATGTTTGCAATGGTTACCAGAAGAGCGAATGACTCCACGTGAGGCATTCAGACATGAATGGCTTCGTAGGAAACTGCCGAAACCCCCTGAAGTTGGAAAAACATCTTCCAGTATTTCAGTAGCTCATACTACCCAACTACCTCCAAGTGCTCACACTGCTGCCAACACAGCCACAACCATGACTTTCAATGCATCTGTCAGTATACCAACATTTGGAAATACTGTAAGTAATATCCCAACAACTGTAAGTGCTGTCAACACAGATCCTTTGGTTTGTACATCTTCAGCGGAGAATAAATCATTTCAAACATCAGTTCCCACTTCCCGTGATCCTACAAAAATTACTGCAACAGTTCCGATTTCAGCTGTAAGTGCATCTCTAGCCATAAGTGAACCAATATCGATAATGTCAGTAAAAAAATCAGTTAATAATACATACATTGCTTCAGTCACAGCTACTATACCAGAAACTGAGTTAGCCATGACAACGATATCTGATTCCCTTCAAGATGCAGGTGACAGAAGGAGACCATTCGATGAGAAAATCATAAGTATTCAAAATACAAAAGAAAATGAATGCAAAAGATAGTCGTGTAAATATGATAAATAAAATTTTTTTTTAAAGTGTGTAAATGGATTGTAATCTGTGAATATGATAATAATATTTCTTTAGGAAAACAAAATGTGATAATATATTTGTGAATAAAGTTTAGTTTCTCCCTTCCTAATTTTTTTTTCTTTTTTTGATACATTTTCACATAATTATCACTTTTATCATTTGTGTAAATTCCTATCATTTTTATTTCCAGCTAGTTAATTTCTTTAACCGACTAAAATATTTATATAATGTAACTTTAAAAGACCGAAGAAGATATATACATATAAATATATATATATATCCTCATTTTTGTTTCTTATGCTTTGAAAAGATGTTTAAAAATAACATACGCAAATGGTGTAGCAAATGCTGGCAGTAGTAATATACTCTTAATCGTAATGAAATTATTGTTACAAATAACTTGTACATGAACTACGTGTATGAATGCATATACATGCATAAATAATACGTATATATATGATTATCGATATCAAACTGTAGTGATTCTTTATTTTGTTGTTTTTTGTTTTAATCCCCGTGACATTTATCAACAACTTTTATTTTCGCAGTAACTATGATATCATCATTAAATATAAAAAATTTTTTGGTTTGCTGATATTTTGTAGTCTGTTACTGTCGAAAGAAGTGTATGTAAACTGCGGTAAAAAATGTATATTTTTTTTCAGTAATCGTAGGAAAACTTGTAAAGAACAGAACAACTCATTTTATTTCAGTAAGACAGCCGGTATCTTATTATCTTAAAACAAATATAAAAGCATGAAGTTATTCATCTAAATTTATTTGAACAAAGTAATTTAACTGTATGTGAACTGTTTAAGATGAATATATATATATATATATATCATTTTGCTTTTGTACACTAATTCAGTACCTGTAACAACAAAACTTTATGCCACAACATAATGTGTATTGTAAAACACAATAATAAAATCGATACCTAACATAATCGTATGAAAATGACGGTTTTCATATATATATATATATTTATTATTTTTGAAACGTTATTAAATGCCTAACTATGCCTATTCTATTACTTTTTTTTCTCTTACTACTCAGAAAATAAATAGACGGGCAAAAACAATGCACAAAATAAATTTTATTTCCATATCTGTTTATTTCGTCAACTAAAATATGTGCATAAATTTTATTGATAAACAAGTGTTAATTTTCTTGCTTGAGAATCATATCAGTGTACCCAAGAAATAAACGAAAAATAATTGACCAGCAGTTAGTGTTTACATTTAAAGGACATAAAGGAATTTCACTATACAATAGTGTTACCAGTCAGTGCCAAACACACATAAAAGTAAAACAAGCAATCAAACCTCACACTAAATGTGTACAGCAAAACTAGAAACTAGCAACAACAGTGAAATATAAGGCAAGTAGGACAGAGAATTCAAATAACTTTGAGAAAGAAACTCATAAATAATTAAGAGAAAATAACACACTAACAAATACGAAGATAAACACACACTGAAAAATAGATGTCTAAAAATGAACCACCAAACACAGAACACCATAGACATTGAAACACTACAACAAATAATACGATCAATTAAAATAACACAAAAAAATTCCATAAAATCCAAAAAACACACCAAAATGAGTGTGCCAAAATCAAAAAATACCAAAATTAAACCATAAGAAAAAACGATGAATGGAAAGAAATGCACACAGCGGCTAGCCAGTTCACTGTCTGGATCCGAGTCACATGCAAATAAACACAATTATTCAGTAAGGACCGAAAGAAATCCAAAGTCAAGTAATCAATAAACCAGAAATTAATTCTGTAAAGTTCCATTAGAAAAAAAAACAATAAACACAAATGAATAACAACCAGAAAACCCAGGCTTTAGAAAAAATTATGCAAGTAATCTAACCGAAATAATATATACAAAATGACCGGAATTAAACAGGAAAACGAGAAAAAGGAAGAATATATAAAAAAAAACCAATGAAATATTAAAAAAAACACGAGAAAAAAACCACATAAAAAGACTAAACTAACAAGCAAAAGAGGTGAGAAAAAGATACGTAAACCATGATACGATTCAACATGCACACATGGAAAAAATCAAAAACAAAACGAAGTGTACCACACGCATATTCATGCAATGTGAATTTCATGTAGGAACGCTATTGTCGAACAGTATTCAACTGCTCGGAAGCAGGCGTTCCAAGAATACTCACCACATTACGCAGAGTTCGCCGTCACCGGTTGTGCATGTGAAACGGAACGTGTTCTCCCTTTTCACCTACGTCCTTCCACACTTCACTTAGGCATAGGACCTCATTTACCCTCAAAACCACATTACTCCATTGTGTTATTACATCTTAGTCAACACAGTAAATTCATCAAAGAAAATAATGTTTTCAAACGCACTCTTCATGTTACCAGTACAAATGAAGGCGAATTGAGACTGCAGTCGAGAGGGGAAATGTGAGTCACCTTCATATTTTCGTCCGACGACTTCTTAACAATTTGAGCGGAACTTTCTCACCAATTTGATAAACAGTGAATCGTAGCTTAATAATGACTGAGGTATTTTAAACTAGTTATGTTTGTTTCTCCACCTGAATAGGTCAGACAATTACCTACAAATATACTCTCTCGAATCTACATCCTGTTATCATAGTCAACATTATTATTATTATTGTGATTGTTGTTACTCAGTTTATGATTTGTGCACCACTTAGACACATCTCACTACCAGCTTCACCTCTGGTGTAATCTGTCGCTACTCAACGCCATTATGAGGAAGACAAATACGGAATGTAGGAAAATATCGTAGTAAATGTCAGTCTGATATTCATGATGGCCTTCCCGTCAGGTGTCCTAATGGCAATATCATGCATCGAAACATAAGTAAGTGCTATCCATACCGAGATGAATCTCAGCACCTAGACACCAGCATCGATTTTCAACACAGATCTCTTCTACAGTCGCTTACAGAAATAACCAGCTTCAGCAAAGTCACTGTCTACAACCCTCACGTACACACGAACACACACACACACACACACACGCAGTCGGTCAGTCACGCGGTTTAATACACACGCTAATCACTCTAAATAACACTGCTAAGTCTCAAACCCACACTAAGCGAATCTACAACACACAAGTCCTCCACGACGTCGTCCAGATAAGCAAAATCGTCAAATAACTGGCATGTCGAACAATTAACTATTAAACCTTTCATATCATCATCAATATTCCCCATAGACCACACGATCTACGCGAATAATTCACACTCAGTATTAGTGTTGATGATTAGTGCACAACTATTACAGGAAGTGTCGTGATTACCTGGTCCAACCCACAATATCCTCTTCACCATGTACACACGTTACAAAATCACAAACAAAACAAAACAAAGCGAAACAAAACAAAGTGTACCACACGCATATTCATACAATGTGAATTTCATGTAGGAACGCTATTGTCGAACAGTATTCAACTGCTCGGAAGCAGGCGTTCCAAGAATACTCACCACATTACGCAGAGTTCGTCGTCACCGGTTGTGCATGTGAAACGGAACGTGTTCTCCCTTTTCACCTACGTCCTTCCACACTTCATTTAGGCATAGGACCTCATTTACCCTCAAAACCACATTACTCCATTGTGTTATTACATCTTAGTCAACATAGTAAATTCATCAAAGAAAATAATGTTTTCAAAGGCACTCTTCATGTTACCAGTACAAATGAAGGCGAATTGAGACTGCAGTCGAGAGGGGAAATGTGAGTCACCTTCATATTTTCGTCCGACGACTTCTTAACAATTTGAGCGAAACTTTCTCACCAATTTGATAAACAGTGAATCGTAGCTTAATAATGACTGAGGTATTTTAAACTAGTAATGTTTGTTTCTCCACCTGAATAGGTCAGACAATTACCTACAAATATACTCTCTAGTATCTACATCCTATTTTCATTATTACCATTGTTATTATTATTATTATTATTATTATTATTATTAATATTGTGATTTCTGTTATTCAGTTTAAGATTTGTGCACCACTTAGACACATCTCACTACCAGCTTCACCTCTGGTGTAATCTGTCGCTACTCAACGCCATTATGAGGAAGACAAATACGGAATGTAGGAAAATATCGTAGTAAATGTCAGTCTGATATTCATGATGGCCTTCCCGTCAGGTGTCCTAATGGCAATATCATGCATCGAAACATAAGTAAGTGCTATCCATACCGAGATGAATCTCAGCACCTAGACACCAGCATCGATTTTCAACACAGATCTCTTCTACAGTCGCTTACAGAAATAACCAGCTTCAGCAAAGTCACTGTCTACAACCCTCACGTACACACGAACACACACACACACACACACACGCAGTCGGTCAGTCACGCGGTTTAATACACACGCTAATCACTCTAAATAACACTGCTAAGTCTCAAACCCACACTAAGCGAATCTACAACACACAAGTCCTCCACGACGTCGTCCAGATAAGCAAAATCGTCAAATAACTGGCATGTCGAACAATTAACTATTAAACCTTTCATATCATCATCAATATTCCCCATAGACCACACGATCTACGCGAATAATTCACACTCAGTATTAGTGTCGATGATTAGTGCACAACTATTACAGGAAGTGTCGTGATTACCTGGTCCAACCCACAATATCCTCTTCACCATGTACACACGTTACAAAATCACAAACAAAACAAAACAAAGCGAAACAAAACAAAGTGTACCACACGCATATTCATGCAATGTGAATTTCATGTAGGAACGCTATTGTCGAACAGTATTCAACTGCTCGGAAGCAGGCGTTCCAAGAATACTCACCACATTACGCAGAGTTCGTCGTCACCGGTTGTGCATGTGAAACGGAACGTGTTCTCCCTTTTCACCTACGTCCTTCCACACTTCATTTAGGCATAGGACCTCATTTACCCTCAAAACCACATTACTCCATTGTGTTATTACATCTTAG